TTATACGTTCCATTTGATATTCAGATGAAGAAGATGAAACAAACCGAAATTTCTGGTGATCCACGACAAAAGACCGAGTTGGCTCGTGAGCTGTATCGAGATGGCAAAGTGGCCGAAACTCTGGAAACAACAACAATGATAATGGAAGAGCATGGCCTTTACATGGTTCGTTTATATTTGTGTTAACCTCTGTTTCCTGGTTTTTTGTTCAAGTTCATGAACTTTTTTAACAAATATTCGTGTTTGGGCTGTTTGCTCTCCTACTTCGCTAACGTGTGAGTGTTCTTACCAAAGTTTAAACCACCGGTCTTGCTTCAATTGTAAATGAGAAAAGAAAAAAGAGATTGTTCACGGGAAAAGAAAGTATGGAAGAGAAGTGCTGGAGTATGTCCATTATCGCAGCGGTGAATATTGCTTCGCTCGTGTTGTTTTGGATGACCATCTCATATTTTAGGACTGCATCATATTGCACGCGAATTGCCTCTGCTACTTCCAAGATTGGAAGAAACTGTTCCTGCTTGCTCATGAATTAGTCTTTTCTTTTCCCGATCACCACTACAGCTGGTAAGGAATTTCAACAGCTTTTGTTTGGGCGGTCTAGCTTTCTGTTTAGGTATGTGGTTGCTGCGTACTACTTCACATGTAATAACATACCTGCTGCAAAAAATTTTATAAGTAGGAGAATATATTGTTTATAAACTTATTCCTTGCAGTAATAAAGATTTTCAGACAAGTCAGCATTGATGAGAACAGCGTTTGGTGAAGCTTGGATTGCGTACGGCCACATTCTAGCTGCTGAATCCGAAAACGAACAGGCCTTGAATTGCTATTATCGGGTTGGGTTGTGGAAACATTGGTACTGCATTTTATTTTTTTATACGTTCTCATATTATAGGCCGCGCGAATCTTGCCTTGGCATTACGAACCAAAGATGTACATAGGAATGCAATATTGCAGAGTCGGGGTGAGAATGGCGGAGGAATTCCTTCGTGAAGCTTCCTGCATCAGGTCTTGTGATCCCGTCATAATGCATGAGCGTGGATCTTACTACTACCGCTACAGCAAGTTCCACAGTGGTATCTATCTGCTAGTTTTTGTACTGTTTTCGCTAGTCCAGTCTTATCAGAGTTTCATGCATGCGCAATTTTGTCGGCAGCATTGTTTGAGTATTAGTTTTGAAGAGACCGTAACCTCATATTAGCGTCCCTGGTGTTGCTTTGCTTTTTGCTTTTTTTTCCGAGAGAAAAAAGTGGATGGAAATTTATACTTTTCTTCTGCCACCAATCAAAAGCATTTTTTGAAAACACGCAGTTGTGATCCTTGTCGATGCCTGTGTTTTACAGCAGCTGAACAGTTCTTCAACAACGCCCTGCTCGCTGTCATTGGAACTGAATCTGAGGAAACTGAATTCATGGATTCGAGCGCCATTCTCAACGAGTGTGTTTCTGTGATATTTTTCCGTATGCCATTTCCACTTTTCTTTTGTAAATTGCGTTAAAACTTTAGGCAGATTGATCCATTCTGGCAACCTCTGATAGCAAGTTTGGGACATGTATCTCGAAGACTCGGAAAGTACAAGGATTCTATAAATTTTCATAGGTTAGCCACATTATTTAAGTTTACGTTTATTATCGTTGCTTTGATTGTTATGCGTTTGCAGATGAGAACTTGAACTAACTGGAGCAAATTTATCAAATTTCATAGTTTACCCCAGGAGTGAGTAATGGGTGGTTACCATTGGATAATTCCTGTCTCCAAATTTCTTCATGATCGGCTCAAGAATTGTAGTTTCCTTGGTGAAGCTTTTCCATTGCTGTCAGAACTGCGTTGTAATTGTGATAGGAGTCTGGCGGAAGAGAAAAGTGACCAAAACAAATTAAAACATCAATGAAATAGAAATAAGCATCATCAGAGAGGAAGCAGGAAGATGCTGGCAAAGAAAGGGGAAATTGGAAAGCTTCAACCAGGACATTCTTAAGGAAATTGTTGAACCCTCCTCGTGTTTCGTCTCCTTGCATTAGGATCATAATCACCATCTTGCCTTCAGTTCAAGCAATTTCTTCAACAATGAACAGCCAAACCAGCAACTAACTCAAACTTTGTGTTCTATTTAATGAATGATTCATACACAATACTCAATTAAGCCATATTTCGAGCATTCCGTCACTGGGAGCCTTTTTCCAACATCTCATTGGTAAAAACATTTGGTCTAAGTTTGATAGCATATCGGTCAACATCGAACTCTGACAGTCAACGAATTTTGGAAAAAGAACGCCACGGCTTGGACGCTCAGTGGTAGGATGATCAGAAGAGGTCGTAGTTAAGAACCTGGTTCATCTTTCACCTGTTTTATTAATGGACCATAGAGTCCGAGATAGTTGCAGGTTTGGCCAGATCGATTAGACTTCCCGTATGCCTGAAATTCAGCTTGATTGTTACGAATGTGGAAAAGTAATAAATTTCTGAAGAGCAATTAAAGTAGACGAGAAAATGTATGAAATGAGATTTCAGAAGATATTTTCCGTTGAATAAATCGTATTACTTGTACTATAACAAACCAATATTCCCATTTTAGTAAAGCGCTGTTAATGAATCCTATCGATTGGCATTCTATGGCGTCGATGGCAATGTCTTATGCTTGTCTCGGTGAAACGAATATTGCCACACGATACTTTGCTAAGTCGCTTGCTCGAGCTCCGTATGATGGGGTAAGTTGGCATGAATTTTGTTCTCAATAATTTCGGTGATGTTCAAAAGCACCAGCACCAAATTTGCATCCCTGATATTTCCGAGAGCTTCTTTCAGATGAGCGCATGCGTTTTACCATTAATATATCCTCGGTTCACCATTAAGTAATACGGCTTAGGTGTGGTCATTAAGGTTGCCAATATATGTAATTTTTTCCAGCCATCTGATGCCATGCCTTTTCATACAGATCTTACTAACCTACTTCTAATAGCACGACCCCCCTGTCATCTATTTCTGATCTAATTGTCTCCTGGCCCCGCTTCGCTCTTATGACTATGTCGCACAAACTGTATTCACTATTCGTGCATATCTGAACCTATAGTTGCTGCCTGCAGCACCGCACGCCGCCCTCCCACTACTCACCCGCCCTGCCGCTTCTCCCCCACAGTCGCCCCACACCCCTCCGTTCTTGCCCTTAATCTTCTGGCAGACTCCGGGGGCGATCATTAGGGAAATTCTTCCCCGCGAAACCTCCCCCCCTCTCCCATACAACCAGCAAAAACGATAATCCTACGGCCCTCTTTAGCCCATACCAACGCATCACACGAAACCAGAACGCCGAACAATAACGCGTACATTTCGGGATTATCACTCGACCTGCACACCAAACAAAACTGATCACCCTCCTTCAACCGTGCCAGCATTCCTTAACGCCGCTAATCGTTTTCTGGCTGTACATCGCGCGCAGAGACTCCTTTCTCCCGTCAGAAGATTCCTTAGCGAATAATCATTCACGCCCCCCCGCTTTACTTTTTCACATCCTTCCTGGCTTCCTCTCCTCCTTCCTTCAAGGACCTCTCTCCCCGCAGATGGCTCCCCCCACCACTCCGCGGCCTCCTGCAAACAGCCCTCCCACAATTGCCGAAACAAACGAATTATGTGAGTCATATTTGTGGCCTTTTGCTGATTTCAACTTTAAATTGGAGCAATCCGTTTGCATTCCTGAAGCCCAGCAAAATGTAAGGTAATCGTTGAGCATGCAACAGTCTAATGACGTAGTATCACTTGTGACGCTGCGTGACTTTTACTTGTTAGGATAATGTATATTATTTCTTTTTAAATATAATAGGGTTAGATTTTTTATATATATTGGTTTTCATAAATTCTTGTTTGTAAATTTCGACACTTTTGTTTATCCAAGATTTATCTCTTCTAGGAAACAACTGATCAATGACATAACCACCATCATAGTCACTGATGCGTGCATTTGCTAGTGAGCGTTTGGAAGCTTCCAGCCCGGAATGAAGGAAGCTGGGGGTTGAAGAATTTGGAGAAGTCGTTTTTGGGGTGGTCGCAATCTTTAACTTTCTTCTCTGGCAGATGCTTATTCAGGGCGCAGGGGAGGCGATAGTCCGATAGAGCGATGCCAATGCTATATGGTGGATGAGGTATCGTGGCCCTGGCTATCTCCCCCACAACGTGGTGAGTTGGCATTGCAATGTGAGGTCTGGCGTACATTCGGAGAAAGGAGAATCTGAGACGTTTCTGACGATTCCCTCGCAACCCCGAAGCCAGCCTAGGGAGCTATTCCGCGCTGACTTTAGCAATGCTTGTCTTCATACATTGAAGTGGTTCCCAAACCAGGCCACCTAGCGAATCCAACAAAACGAGCGATATTCTCAGAAAACGGAGTTCGGGCTTTGGTTGAGCTGGTGCTTCCTGGCTGCGAGGCAGCCATCAGACGTGCCGCATGTTGTTGTCGCAGTGGACTCATGACTCATTTCCACTAGTGACCGATTAGGGAAGGCTCTGCTTTTGCCGTCCCAGAAATGGATTTTTCCCAGATGGTCAGACGTGCTTCTCGCTCATGGTCGGCCGGACCATAAGGTTTTCATCAAGACTTTATTCTGCAGCAGTTCTTGCCATACTGATGGCGTGTGCTGGTGCTTCGGCTGCGCTCAGGTGTGCTACAATACCCTGGTAGCAACGTACGGAGGCACTCCCAATTTAGGGTGCAAGGGGGGCTCATCAAAAATGACCACAGGCCCAGTATGAGGTTGAAGTTCATAGCTCGTTTCGTCTTTGCCGTTGCGATTGGACCACTAGCTCAGTACCCTATCAGTAGCAGAGACTGGGTCAAACACAGCGCTGGTCTTCTCTGTTGTCCTCCTTGCTACAGAGTTCATTTGAGGATCGTAAAGCATAATCATTCGTTATAGTCAATGACCTATTTTTATTTCTAGTTGATTAACCCATTACGGGCTCGCGTTTCCGAAACCATACTGTTAAAGCTCTTGAAGCGTACTTCAACATACTAACGTATTTCGCAATGAAACGGTCTTAGGCGGAAGAGATTTGAAACTGAATAGAAATGCGACAGTAATTATGAGACAACCCAATATACCTTAAATATTTCTCTCATTAATCTTCCCCTATTCACTCTTGCTCCTAGTGTTAGCCTACCCTTCAGTGAATGACACGTTTTTCAAGCACTGCATCGGACTCTAACAACGAGTTGGAGAGGATATTCTCAGAACGATCTGTATCAGTGAATGAGGTCAGCACAGTAGTTCTTGAGGGTCACCATCTCATTTTTGAACTTTAGGCCAAGCGAGGTGGTGCAGATACGGCGAGATCCAAGAAGCCCTTAGCTGAACACGCAAAATCTAGGCTTGCAACCCGGAAGATGAGGTAACCTTTTTATCTACTACTTGTGGGTTTACCGTTTTTGAATCAAAATAGTGTCGGAAAATCTCTTGGAAGTGGTTTGAAAGCCGTAACTTTTTCTACTTCATCAGACTAGTTTCAATTCAAATTTGACGAGTTCAGTAATATGGCAAAGGCACTTCTCACTATTTACTGCCCACATGTTTTGTACGGTTCTCGATTGAGCTAAGCGTAGAGTCAGAGCGAAATGTCTACTAAGGCGCAGGTTCACGAAAGCTCGTTTCATTCTGCAAGAGCAACGTCATGTACACTAAGAATCCAGCCTTTAAAGGAGTCAGCACTGTGACTTCACAGTTAACCAGAATGGGAACACAATTTCCCTTGTTATTCCTGTCTTTCTTTTTTTGAACAACACCCCCTAGAGCTCTTCCTGTATAAAGTCTATGGATCTAGGTCAGATAGACCCCCTAAGCCTAATCAGTTACGCTCTCCCGCGTGGACATTCACGACCGTTATTCACCCAGGTTCTTAGAAAGATCCATTCCATTTGATGAGAATACGTTGTAAACTACCACAGATGCTCGTTCATGTCTGCTTGTGAGTTTAAGGATTTCACATTTTCTTCTCCTGCGTAAAGCCCTGTGTCGACCTGTTGTTAAAATTCGAAAATTCGAAAGAAGTAGGACCTGATTTCGATTGCGAAAAGGTTCTTACTGGAGTCAGTTGCACTTCATGTGGCACGACAGTGTGCAATGGCTGATTAGCGATTATGACATAGCTCGTATGGAACGTTGATGTCCGGCTCTCCTCTCCTTTCACGCGTTTAATCCTGAGGCAAAGAACTCATCCCTTCTACTCAGGATCGTTTATCACACCATTTGAGGCTCCTTCTCATCATCGCTACGCTCCAGCCTTTAGTGTTAGAGGCGCAGTTTACACCAGACTGGCTCCTCTGATTCTGTTTTCATCCTAGGTTTTGGAACGGTGATGGTATACATTTTTTGCCGGGCTGCAGGTCTCGTTGAAAGACGACCACTCAAGCTGAGAACTGGAAGCTAAGAAAGGGCGGCTTCTCACCAGGAAATGCTTTGAACTTGAAGGAAACCTAGATGGAATTCCCATGGAACTTGGAAGGAAACCTAAATGTATCGATAGTCTTGAACGCTGATTACAAATATGGACACTAAAACTGCTACGTGAACTTCCTAAGAAAGTTATGAGCCTTCAAAGTTGGCAAAAACGTTACTGAGGCGAGCTTACCTGGTGGAATCACAGTCGCCGTGGCTCTGCGCCAAAAACGAGTCTCATATTCGTAATCAGGGCACCCATTTACCTTATAGAACAAGTTCCAGGCAAAAAGAACCGTGTTTCCACATAGGTTGCACCTCATCATTAGCGTTCTTTTGCAACTTTTAAGGCTCACAACTTTCTTACAAGTTCACGTAGCAGTTTTAGTGTCCATATTTGTAATCAGCGTTCCAAGACTATCGATACATCTAGGTCTCCTTCTTTAGTTCGCTCGAAATCACGTGTGGGATTGAGGTGAAACTAAGATTTCGTGGGTAGTAGGCTGGGCGAGTGGAGGGGCGCAGGATAAAAATTTTTGTTTTCAGCGGGCGTATATACCCTCCCTTAGAAAAGGAAGTAGTGGGAGTATAGGTAAAATGGGTTGAAGTGGTGGAAGTAGAAGGAAATTTCCGGAAATGTTTACTGTTTCAGAGTGATT